TATTGAGAGGCTACACGAGATGAGATTACTAAGAAGTTCTTGTACGTGTGACTGTGGTTATCCAATGACTACAGTAAAGTGTGCAGACTACCGTGATGAGATTGTATTCTGTTGTTCTTCATGTTGGAGGAAGAAATCTGCTCGAACGGGGACTTTCTTCGCTCGATCGCGACTGTAACTGAGGCAGATAATGATAGTAGTTGCGAATTGGATAATAAAGACACCAGTAACACTGGCTGCGGCGTTTGCAGATGTTAGTGAAACTTCAGCAGTCCAGTGGTATGAATATTGCCCTGACATATGTGCAATTAAAATGACACGTCTACATCAATCATTCGGAGAAGTAGGATGTATTGTGGAGATAGATGAAACAGTAGTGAGAGAGCGAAAATACAACAGGGGACGTAGTATGAAGGAAGACTGGGTAAGTAGCACTTCCGTAAATATACTTGACAGGTACTTGGAATTTATGATCGATCAACGCAGAAGGGGCATTTTCAGAGGGTCAGAAACCGGCAAGCAAGCACAGTAATACCAATTATACAGGAATACGTGCAGCCAGGCACTATAGTATATACGGATGATTGGAGAGCTTATAGATGCCTACATAGACTTGGGTATGTGCATCATGTCATAGTGCACAAGTGCCATTTCGTCGACCCCACAACAGGCGTTCATACTAGTAATATTGAAGCCATGTGGTCCAGACTGAGGGAGTTTTGAAGACCATACTACGGTTCTAAAGGACAACTATTATGCAGCCATATGTACGAGTTCCTATACCGTATGCATTATGATTTTAGAACATCTGAATCTTTATCAAACCTTAACAAGTTTTTAAATCATGTAACAGAAGAATATCGAGTGTAATTTATTAGTTTCTTATGTCTTTTTACCTTATACTAACTGTCTTCTGATTGGCTAATAATTGTCAAGGTCATTTAAGATTCGTTCAATGTTCGTCCATAAATTAGAGTCTCGCCTATATTTTAATAATTCTAAATACAAACCTAATCCAATTTTTTTTTAATTCTTACACTATTTGTATCGTTTACGATATTCAACATCAAACTAATGAAAACACTTTTTCTTTCCACTATTTAGTTACATAATTATGGAAGTCATTCACAAGTGAATATGTTACGTATTCAACATAGATATGCATCACAGGAACTTGAATTTTTATGTGATGGTACAGAAATCTATGGTTCATGGAATTCACGTACAAGTCAATCAGATTTTAATAAAGCAACAGCTCTTCTAGCACATAACGAACGTATGCTTGATTTAACTTCAGGTGAAAGATTAGGACCAGGAAAATATCATATGGATAAGCGTAATTATCGAAATAATTTAGATCGTGTTGATACAAGTATTATTGTAGAATATGATGGATGTCAGGTTAGTTAGTCAATTGTGAACACTTTTCTAATTATAGTAATCATAATGAATGGTAAAGGTTAGATACGTTTCAAGGTCATATGAAATACTCCATGATTTACCTATTATTCAGATACCATAAGTCGATATTCATTCCAGATAAAACTCACGAAACAAACAATTGAAAAGTTGTACTGTCCATACGAAAATCCATCTTACACAACCAATTCAAGACAATTCAAAGGGAACAAATAGAACCAATAAACAACTAAATCGAATATTTGGAATATAATTAATAACAACGATAGCAACAACTCATTCGCAACATTTTTGAATGATTTCTTCAGAGAATTTGTCGATGATAGTTTAGTAATATAGAAATGGCGACTCGAAAAAGACAACACTTGCGGCCTTTATCTGGCCTACATGGCATTAAATCCCATTTCCTTAGAACATCAGTCTAATATCAACTGTGATCTACGTGAATATCTTAGACTATCTGGTTTCGATGTATCAAGACCATTAAGGCTCTCACAAGTTTGTGACAAAATCTGTTTACAGTCATGCTGTAATGGATCAAATAAACATAAATAAATTTTAACAATGTCCTGATATTTCGTATAAGTTCATTTAACATCATTATAAAAACATAAGTTTATTGTTAATAGATAATGAAAATACTTGGATTAGTCAAGGCTGGAAAGACCCAGTGACGATGATGCAGAAAATCTAACTTGCAACTTGCAACACATAAGAGGTCCGGTTCACTAGTAGTTAGTCCAAAAAACCGTACTAAACTTTTTACAACATAATTTTTATGATAATACATTAACTGAAGAAGTTGGATATTCTGACCCGAGAAAATCGATATAGCAAAATTCAAATATAATACTTTAAGTTTTATATTGAGATCATGAACCGGTTGATGTTAGACCACCTTTAGAAACCTGAAAGCACTGGACGGCTGCTTCGTCCTATTGTGGGATTCTTCAGCAGCGCGCATCCACGATCTCGCTCGCCGGATTCGAACCTAGAGGCTTCGGTCTCGCGAGCGAACACTTAACCTACTGGACCACTCAGCCGGCACCCAATGATGAAAGTGTCTAACATCTAATAGTTTATTAAAGAATAGAATTTTATTTCAATGAGAATGAGCCATTACTACCCTCAAGATAAATAACTTTTATTTACGTTTTTTTTATATCTCTCTTTCTCTCCTATTTTTTTCTCTCTCTAGTACTTAACAAAAGGTGCAGCTACTAAATTATTGATTGAAACAAGAGATTTAGAAGTATTGCCAATTATTGATTTTAAAGTACGTAATTTCGATAAACAAGGAACATGTTCATTAAGTGTAAATGTTGGCGCTGTATGCTATCGTACATAGAAACAAAATACTAACAAAATCACCACAATCAAAATAATGGAAAAGAGAAAAAAAATAGAGAAATTTCTGGAAAAAGAAAAAAAACTGTATTGAATTGAATACATTCATATATATTCAATAATTAGTCAATTACTAATCATTATTGTTTTGTTTTTGTTTGTATGAATAATCTTTCAATTTCAAATTAATTTAATCCAAGTTGTTTTAATGTGTGCCACAATTAATAAAATTGTACAATGTTCGAATGAAAACAAATAAAAAAGTTAGATAAATTAAACCAGTTAAACATTTTTATATCATATTACATCATAAGCATAGTCGTAATTAAATAATAAAATTTCAATAGTTAAGATCATGAATCAATTGAAGCCAGACCACCATGGAAAACCTGGAGACACTGGAAGACCGTTTCGTCCCATTATTGGACTCCTCAGCAGTGCGCAGCAACGACTCTGCCTAACGGGATTAAAACCCGGGACCTACCAGTCTCTTGAGCGAACACTCAAATGCTAAACTATTGAACCGGCATCTAATGGTGGTGTTCAAGTGCCTGGCACAAGACTGATAGGTCCTGAGTTCGAATCCTGTCAGGCGGGGTCGTGGATGCGCAATGCTAAGGAGTCTCACAATGGGCCGTCCAGTGCTCCCACGTTTTTCATGGTGGTCTAGCTTCAATTGATTCATGATCTCAACAACTGAATTAACGAAATAACGATTTCGCTATCATACATGTCTATCCATTGTGAACAAAACAAAACAAAATGAAAAAAGTGCATTATTATGATTATTATTGTTAGAGTGCAGTCAATGAGAACATCAATGAAAGACAACCGAATGTATCCATATAAGGAATCACAGTATTTCTTAGTAAAATCTGAGAACTACATAGCAAATACTTCATTTACGAATTCTTCATTAGTTGTCTCAAAATTTTTTTGTTTCTACATCAATCATTTTCTTTCCATCGATCTTTTCAACCTTCTGTCCCTAAGCATTTCATTTTCGACTGATGATATATACTATTTATATTTGTTGAAACCAGTACCACACACCACACTTTTATTAAAAATGAGTTTGGTTAACTGATGAAAATATTGATTTATTACACCATACAACAGTAATCATTATCAATAACGAGATCGTTTTAATCAGGCAAGAATAATGTATCCAGTTGGATTTTGCTTGCATTACTACTATACATTTATAGGTACCAAAAGGATCTTAATATTCATATTTTTTTGGGTAAAATTAATGACTTAACATCAGGGTTTACCAATCATAACATCTATCCTGCTTATCTGTTCTTGATATATTATAACACACTGTTTGTAGAAGGTAACTTTACAACTGCAGTTACTCTCTTTAAAGAATAATTTCAGGCTATCAGTAACTATTTTTAATTAACTTGGCCCAACAATTTATTTAATATCAACTTTAGTTTCACATATCTGCAAAACGTCATTGACAAACTAAGATTTTTGTGCCTTTGATGATCGAATTCAAATACTAATCATAATTTTTGATGCCCAACGAACGAAATATTACAAAGACAGTAAACTGAGATTGTGTAGAATAACGTATTATTGATAGGTAATTATTGTTATTTATAACGTATGGATACCATAAGGATAAGAAAACTTGATTAGAGAGGTAAATCATTTACTCACACTAACACACTCACATTTTCATTATCATTATTGTGTGACCACTCTCAATCTTATTAAAATTTAGGCAGAATGTGTACATATGCTTAGATTCGGTTCTTCATTGTCTAGGATTTTTCACAAAAGATATACTATTTTCAATCATATATGTAATACAGTAATGAGTTGAATTTTTTTTCGTCAGCGAACCACTTGATCGATTGCTTTATGCTTAAATTTATGGTTTAACATTTCTCATTCACTACAAAATGACTAAAGATAACAGTTGCAAATGATTTAATTTTAGCTAGCTTGAACCTAAATTGTGATCATTTTTTGTAAATTGAAATCTATTTTTATCTGTATGGTAAATTATGGTTGAAAAAAAAAACATGAAAGATTTCACTAAGGATTGAGTATTCTATTTCATCTCAGCAACTTATTATAACAAGTTGTAGTTAATTGAAAAGGATAATTTTATCACAATTTAATATGCAACTGCCTAAAGTTAAGATTATTAATTGTAAAAACCAGATATTAAATTAAAACATTAAGCTTATCACATCTAAAATCACTTGCGGCAATCTTAGATCTCATCACGATTACAATAATTGTAATTATGTTTATGCTACTTATAATATTTGAGTAGTATGAGTAGTAAGTCGAAATAAACAATTAACGTCTCACTACATATCCATGTTTTTATGTTAGTATATTTTTACAATAAATAATCGTAACAACAATTGTAAACGTGAGAGCAGTTCTTGACCTTTATGTACTCATTGACTTTCCATCTGCCCATCTTTTTTGCATTTCTGTCATTCATGACTTGATTGCTTTCTTTTCTACTTTATTTAGTGTTCAAATGATAAATTTATAATAATAGATTTTATTAATATGCATACCATGTTGTACAGGTATATAATGTATGCATGAATGTAAACAAGACGGTAGAAGTACTTTAAATTTTCACATAATATTGGAGAAATTGATCATTTCTTCTTTTTGCCTTTACCACTTTTTTTACCACTCTTCTTTCCACTTTTCTTCGTTCCACCTTTCTTTTCATTCGCCTTAGCTTGTTTATCAATTTCTCGTTGTATTGTAAATTGGGGAATTAGAGGAACTGTACGTGTTTGTATTAAATGTTCAATTTTAGGTAGATCACCGTTTGCAGCATCCAATAAAACCTGTATATAGTTGTATTATTAACAATAATAGGAGAGGAATTAAATGTAACATATAAAGAAAATCTCTTTTAAAATTGTTGAAAATAATGCGAAAACGTTGATGACGATTTCATATATATCATATGTATAGCTTAAAATAAATATTTTCCATGATAACCCTTGTATGAGATGTCGAAATAAATGGGAATCTAAACTTATTCAAGGATAATAATCTTTAAAAGAATCAGTTATCAGTTAGTAAATACCTTTATTTTTCAATACATCCGTGTAATACTGATTGAAATAGCAATAAGATGTGTTAGTCGTTAAACACTAACTTTACGGTTAGAGTGATCCCAAATTCTCCTTGTATAACTTAACGGTCCTGAAATCTCTCGGAAGCATTTTATTCAGTCGGTATTGAATAGAAATTTCTTTGAAATATCTAAAAGGTTAACGAATCAGGTGTCAACTCCTTATTGCTAATATTTATTATTCTTCTGGAACTTTCTAGATGATCAACGTCACATTGAATAATAAAAATAAGCACGAGTACAGTACCATTTTTGCGTTTTCTTCATTTTCTTTTGTGTCTAGACTGTTATTTAGATTTAGACTGAGATTATTAGAAGCGGCCAGAAAATCAGATCGAGTACTCAATTAACAGTCTAAATCATCTATTTATGTCCCTTTAAACACTATTTAAATGGTGCTATATAATGGAATGTTTTCCCGGGTCAAAAATCTCCAATGTTAATTTTTTCTCAAGGATAGATTTTGAGATTGAAAAACAATTTGAATAGTTCAATATATTTATCATTTAAATTTTGAAGTTGAAACGCCTTTATTCTATGACCAAACTTTAGTGATTCCAATGAAATGTATTTGTACTTGTTAAAGTGTGACAAATCGTACTATTCTAGTTACCTTTGATAAGTCCTTATAATATCATGATCAACATATTTGAGAAGGCTAGACTCAAAGTTGTAATAATGCAGATTACATAGACTGCTTGATAACCAGATAGAAACAATGATTAAAGATCCTAATGAACTATGAATTAACTATTTCGATAATATTCGATGTCCCAACACTACCTATTCATTGAAGAACTGTTTATTTTTATTTGAATCAATTTAAAACCATTGATTTTGAACAATAGTTCAGTTGTATCAGTTATCATTGCTTTTTGTCATTCACGTTATTGTTGTGTATAACAACGTAACCTGTTAAAGCGGCTGGTTTCGGTACAGATCTATGTTCATCATTGAGTTATTTTGTACTTCATTCGTGATATTTATACCTGACTATAAATCGGTCAGAAGCATGTGAAACCTCCGGGTGTAGAAACTATACTTTACAAAATATGAAGAGATTAAACCAAAACGTTTTACTGTACCTATCAACATTAATAAACAACCGCGAAAATATGCACTTAATAGTGTTATAATAAATAATTGGAAGATTATATTCACTTGATGTTGCTTGCTTGTATCTTCCCATTGTTATTTAGGACTGTAATTGATCACTTTGTTGTTGGCATATGTGTATCCTGTGTAGACTGCCTCGATATTGTCTGAAATCTATCTTTGCTTATAAAGCTTGCGACTTTAGGCAATATCGAAGCAGTCTGCACAGGATGCACATTTGCCAACAACAGACTGATCAATTTAAGTCTTAAATAACAATCGGAAGATACAAGTAAACAACACCAAGTGAAGATAACTTCACCCCATTGCACAGGTAGGTAGCTATTAGGACTCAGTGGCTAAGTGGATAACGCGATGCCATTTGAAGCAAACGGTACTGGGTTCTAGTCCCAGAGTTGACATCATCTCTGAGATGTAAGTAAATCCAGCTGACGCGTTTCAAATATAACGAAACGCGCGTACTGGATTCTACTGCTAGTCACTATCCATATTTATTTATAAAATTAGAAGATTGTTTAACAAATCAGGATTGATGAGATAAATCTGGGTCAGGAGTGTATCTCATTGAATTAAGGTGAAAAGTGACAGTAAGTTATACGAAATAATAAGAGAGTAATCCTCAAATTGTAAACTGGTTGACAAATGTTGGTGTTTCTTCTGAATTCCCTGATTACAGAGGGTCGTTTAGCAGTGCTAAAGCTGTGTATTTAGAAGTCAAAGATAACCATTAAATCATTTTTAATTGCTATTTAAGACGACAAGCTATCTAAATAATATTAGTTGTAGAAATCACAAGTAAGCAACAACTATGGCCTTTAGGTTCTCTCTCATCTCTAAAAGATATAACCATAATTATTTAAGCTCATGTCATGATTAGCAGTATGGTCGTGAAAAGGATAAGGATAAAGTGTGAACTTGTTTGCAGATATCTCGTACAACAGACTAATAAACCACCTTCTTGACTCATGTGCTCAAGGCATACTGTTCAAAATAAATAAGTGAGAAGTAAGGCTAAATAAACAAGTATTTTGTGATCGAATACCATCAAGGAACTTGGACATATCTAATCCATGTTTTTGGTTGAGAAATTTTATAAAAAATATCCACTCATTGACATTTTCCAACCTAAAGCATACTCCATTAGTAAAGAATGAGAAATTGGGGAGCGTCATCTTCGAACTGATCAAGTTAGTATACCAAACAATTTCATCTGTTAAAAATAGCCAGTATTAATTAGAGTTGACTTTATAGTCAAATCAATAAAAATGAATAATAAACATTCAAGAAAGTAATGAGTATAACAACTCTTCTTCAGCATAACTTACTTTCCAAGTTTCGGAATTATAAATTGCTAAGTCGATTGGCTTGACGCCACTAATACATTGATGATTAATATCTGCCCCAGACATAAGTAAGAATTTTACCACTCTTGTATGATTTCCTGTAAAATAAATTTAATAGTATGCTGTAAATCCAATACAACTGTCCTACCTTTAGCGGCCATATGTAATGGTGTAGTTCCATTCGAATCCCATATATTTACATTCGCTTTATTAGCGACAAGAAGTTTCACTGATTCATAACTTCCATCTGTTATTTAATTTTAGATATAAATTTTGAAGGGAAAAATAAATCAAGAATTACGAAATGTTAAACATGTTTACTTGCGGCTGCATAGTGTAATGCTGTTTTACCAAAACCATCAATAAAGTTTACATTCACTCCGTTTGCAATAGATTTGCTTACAGCTTTTATATCAGCATGACGTGCTGCTTTACATAAATTTAATTCATTTGGAAAACCCCATGGAATAAATGGATCGGATAATTTTTGTTCTGATTCAGCAGTTTCTGTCATTTTTTCATAGTTAAAACAAATACATAAATTGCATGGTGTTATCTGAAGTACATGAGGAGATAATTCAATCATGAGAATCAAATGATTATTATCATTATTAATATGAATGACCATATACTAATCAGGCAGTTTGTAAAGATCCGATGAATAGTTGTAAAATAATTTCTTTTTCAGGGCCTATAAACCAGTAATAGTCAGTAAACATTAATAAACTGTATTATCATGCTAATCTGGAAGTTTTACTAAGAAAATCTCTCGTTTACTTTGTGTTGTGATACTGTTCTGTTGGACTTTCAGGTGATGGTTGCATTGTTTGACCATTATACTTCATTAGAACGCGTAGTACATTAACTTCAAGTGACTCACACAATAAATTGACCTAGTAATTAGTGTGTACTCTTAGGAGCCAATAGTAATCAGTTGATAAGAACCGTTACAAAATCGATGATAAGAAATATCTCTAGAACTATATATTATGTTACTTAATTCATGTTCATCAACGTTATTGACATCTTTTCAAATCATAACTTAAAATAACCCCAATTCAATTTTAAGCGGGGAACGTGTTTCTGTCTCAAGATATATTTTACAAAAAGAAGGATATTTCAATCTTTCGACAAAATATTTTCCTTTTTAGATACTTCACTCTATTCAATTTTCGTACTCCATTTCGAAATATCAAGCAAAGTTGTATTATTATTATTTTTATTGCACAAAATACATGTTGTGCAGATTTATTTCTCTGTATAATGCAGGCGTTAGTTTCAGAAAAACTCTATGTATATCACAATAAATAATACATTGCTTTGGAATCCATGAATTATCACTCGAACCTCAAATAGCGATTTTGAGGTGGACAATAAGTGAGTGGTGAGCATAAAGCCTGAAATGTATTAGACTATAATGATATACTTTTCTTGAAGTTTCCAGAATTCTCTCAGTACTGGGAGTCAAATTTGTCTTAACGAAATGTAATAAACGATTACCCTCACATAAAAGTCCAATTAAAAATGAGTCAAAAACCATCTGTCGTGAAAAATCTACCAAGGCATTACATAAACAGCGAATTAGATATGACCAAAACATAGATGATGAATCAATAATATATAAAAATGATTGATTACTGAAGTTCATATTGTGAAGGAAAATAAGTATCTTTGACTCCAATAAAAGTTCCAATTTCAAGTTGAAAACATGATATATTTTTAATGGACGGACTATTTTCAGCAGTCGTTTGGTCTAATTGTGTAGACTTGAGACACCATAAATTCGTTGATTACATATACGTATATGAAGGTCGATAAAGTAGATAATATGGCCAACTAAATCAGTGCATGGAACACACTTATAATTATAAAGAATGTAATGAATCAATTTTGCGTTATTTGAATAATATAAAGTCAGGTTACATAAATCATTAACTATCGCCATATGAAATGGATGAAGAGTTATAAAAGTAAATATGCTTTAGTTACAGAAGATATATTGGATACGGGATGTGGTGTCGTGTACATTCCTTGTAAACGGTTAATTATAACAAGAATTGTAATTAGACAGATACGTTTTTACAGAGAAATCAAAAGACAGATTCATTTTTGAAGAAGAATGTCACATTTACAGTGTCAGAAATCTGAACAGTCATTTAATTTCCGGAAAAATTAATAAAATAGTCAAGTTAGTCAATGTATTACCTGTAACACACTAGGGAAACCAGATAACGGAACCTTATTTAAATAGGTTTTCGAATGCTTATTGTGTGGTAAACATCATATAAACGTCACTACTGGGCAAAACTTTCAGTAGAGTAGATATACGAAATTGAAAGCGTCAGAAGTGATACAAATGAACTTGTGATAAGCCATTAAAACCTTGAAAGGGACTGATTATTCTATTCAGCTTTATAGTCAATCTCTGAACAATATTGCTTGCTATTATCATTTTTTTCACCTCAAAGAGCAAGGTATATTTTATGGGTATCCCTGTATCTTCTATGACGAGGAGCAGTTTGGTTCCAATAAATGTGTTGAATATTATCAGAAAAGACATATTAAACAATGGAAGAGTTGCTGTCTGTCTTTAAAACACGTGGGAGGTTAACATCCTATCAGTTTACACGGTTAAAACGTTATGTTTTGTATTATTTGGCGATTGAAGTTTGGCAATGAGGTGCAGTCACTAATGTAAGACTATTACATCTGAAGATATCTTAAATTTCCGGCTAGCTCTAATTGATATAGAATTGTATTTTAAGTTAAATAGTAGCTTCATCTATGCTCTTTAAAATAAACTTAGAAACGTTTTTCCAAAATATCACGACTTACGTTGATTGAAGCAATCTCAAAGACGTCTTGATTTGCAACATTCACTACAGATACTAGATCTACGAACGGTAACTCGAGTTACTGAAGGATTAAAACTCACATAAGTTTGAGTCGTAAACAAATGTACACGAAGCGATGTATATTTTGCTTAAAATGCTTTTTCAAAGGTGATATGAAGAGAATGAGTGCACCAAGGTGTTTGAAAGTGTGGAGTATAGAATTCTTTTAATATTGATAACAACTGTCACTACCATTGGCACCATAAATGGAAAGTTTGACAAACAGCTGGTGAGCTGCGTTGAATACAGCGATGTTTGAAAGTAATAGAATCATAAAATAAATTCAGACTAAGGATCAAATCTATGATATCTTAGATTTTCTTTTAAGGCTTATGCGCGACAGATCAAACGAACAGTGAACTGGGGATCCTCTGCAGCCAAAAAGGCTATCCGGCGTTATAATGAGCAACTGTCATTCGTTAGTCGTTTACACGACAGTAATTTAATTGACAATAGCAAAATGCCAGTTAGTTGTGATGTGAAGAAACATGTTATAGCCTTTAAGGATACTAGGTTCACATCAGTTAAACCCAACAACTTAATACTCGTCAAAATTGATCCCGAACTGATTATAGAGATAGGAGAAAACGGTAAAATTAAATTTCACTCTTAAGTTTGTACCGTATGTCTTTCTACAGAATCATTGCCCTCGAGTGATGTAAATATATTTCTGTGTTCAGTAGTTAGTCATGAGCATATGTTACTAGACACTAGTGACTTATCATTTAATTGTACTGCTGTCAACATAGTTAGCCATGAGGTTATAGTGTCCCTAATACATACATTATCATAAGTAAAAGTTACATCCTTACGCTTTCCTCGCTAAGATAATAATATCTTATTTACTGATCACTTTCAGCCTACATTTAAAAAGTTGGCAATTATTTTAGAATTCCAGTGACAGAAATATTGCTTCTCACTGACAACATTGTAGCTGTAGAAGTGAAAGGTGTTAGTTTCGAGACACCCACCAGTGGATAAATTTTAGGAAAACCTTCACGATCTACTCCAGGGTTGTAAGAACGCTTGGTAATTTGATGCTCTGTCGCATGTATTTACACCGAATCCTCTTAAGGATTTCTCTCAGAGTTTCTCCGAATTTCGCCTTTATTTCTCCTTTTTTAATTGCTTGAAATAACTTAAAAGTTGGAATCACAAGCAATGAAAATGATAATCTTGAGCGTTATCCTTAATCTTCTATACGTTTGAGTCTAGCTTGAAAGTACTTTTTATTTCAGGGAATATATAAAGCAGTGTATGTGATATTTTCTTAAAGAGAGCAAGAAAAGGTTGACGATTCAGAACTCACACATAACAATTAAATCGATAGGCAGCAATTAGTAGTTACACAACAGTAAGATAAAGGTAGCACGACAATAATAGTATTGATGAATTAAGATGGTAAATGAGTTATATCTACCTAACGTTCAACCTTTGGTAAGTTTGAGACTAGTATAACGGTACTGTGTGAGCTCGATGAGTTTGAGAGGCAGTGAGTGAAATTGTCCAGAAGAGAAAAATCAAATGTTTTTCTCTAATGAGAAAACGTGAGCCAGTGAGTCACTAGGCAGATTGTGGAGATAGACCCGACAAGCTTATTTTGTAAATAGTTCTCAATGCTATTTGTATTTATTTTGTCAACCTTCCACTGTATGTATATTTAACAAAAAAATGAAGACACTGTCATTTAATGTTAAATATACATACAGTGGAAGGTTGACAAAATAAATACAAATAACATTGAGAACTATTTACAAAATAAGCTTGTCGGGTCTATCTCCACAAAATAGAATGCACTTACATCTGTTAGCAAAAGCACTTAATGACAATCGGAAGTGACACGGACGATAGATTAAGACAATATGATAATCGAGACAAAAAGTTGATGGTGTAGTGTTTCAAACGTTACATACAATTTATTTGCAAAACCCGGTCCAGCTGTAGTCATGGTTAATTTAATCCAATATTCAATATCCCTGTGAGCAGTTTGAATAAAGTATTTATTTGTTTTTCATACTTTCTTGTTGTTTCTACATGGCTCCATTTTCTAAAAAATGCTCAACTGGCTGTTGTCTGTCGACATGAATGCACTTATTCTATTCGTTTTGGTAGTTATGCGTGGGTTTTGTATATTTTGTAGTCTGAGTAGGTACGTTTATATTCATTATATATAGAATATTCAAAATCCCAAGGCAGTAAGATTTGCAAAAAAAGCAAATATCACACCACAATGCAAGTGATTTTTCGGTCGCAGTCCGAAAATAATAGAGAAAATTCGAATACTAAGAGAAAACGATTGTTTTATGAGGCAAATAAATGAGTCAGCTAATCAGTAATGCAGACTTTATGAGTGAGTTGAACTGTACCAACAAGAGAAACAATGGAGGTGCTAGTAGGTGAGATAAATTAATTTTGTGGTATGCAGTAATAATAACTATATGTAGGTTATGACATATTAAAGTAGTCGAAGCCGGAGACATTAATCCGTTAGTGAGTAGATGTTTATCAAGCTCTGATTGCCTCGACTAGGAGGATATTCTAAGCGGGAGGAACCATTAGTGATAAAAATTATCAGCAGTTTGGTTCCCGACTCTTGATTTGCAATTTTTGGAGGGTTATCTCGAGGAGCATGGTAGTGATGTTGGTGTTTGTATCGAATTAACTTAGCGTGGTTGTAACGTTGTGCACCATCATCAGGTCACTTCTTATTCTTCTTTAACTCAGCTAGGATAATCAAGTGTCAGAGTCTATATTCGTAAGATTTGTTCTTCGGCTTCTTCACGCATTTAGTAACCTATCTCCTACTTCGTCTGAGATATTCATGTCGTGAAAAAATTGTGAATACGAGGCGGGAATTTGAAAACGTTTTAAAGTAATGAAGGAAATTCTGAGGTGATTTTGCCAAGTCGCCATCTTAAAAATTGAAAATTTGTATTTGTTTTGACTGAACCATGAATGTATTTTGAGTGAAAGCCAAT